AACACTTGATTCCCGGAACATCGTTTTGAAACCCCCGTGGTCTTTCGCTACTCAGGTTAAACATGACACAAGTCACTTAGGCAATTTAATTTAATAAAGCAAATCTTATTTATTTCAGTGTTTTATTTGTTCCTGAACAAATCGGTTTGGCAGTAAATAAAGTTAGAACAGTTCAGTTATGAAGCTTATTTAATTTATTATTAAAAGTCTTACTTTGAGAGCTGTCAGCTTATTTTAAATAGAATATTTCACCCATCATATCCCTGATGTAAAAATATGCTGTTCTTATTTAAACAGCTGACTGAACTAAATCTAACTGTAGAACATCTGACTAGTGTTGTTGAATAATGAGGGTTTCCCATACCTGTTTGAAGCGAATAGTGCACTGCGCATGCATGCAGTGAAAAAAATAAATAAATAAATAAAAAAGGCTAATACAGGACCAGGTTCCCACCCCCAGAGTCAAGAAGCTTCTTGCATGTAATGTTTCCACAGTTATACACTGTAAAAGCTGATAAGAAATCATGAACCCAGCGTCTTTACTAAACATCAAACATGGTGTCAGAAGTTGTGGTCTGGTCGTGTGCTAAAGAGCTGCCAACAAAATGCTAAGGCGAAAGTTTTCTAAGCACCTTGATGACATAAAATCCCTCGTGCCCAACTCTGTGCTGCCCTGGGTTCCTTTGCTAGCTGTTCCTGTGACTATGTCAGTAACTTGGGTGTACTGCTGCATAGCTCGCTCAAACTCGATAAGCAAGTGTCTGCTGTAGTGAGATCTAGCTTCCACCAACTGCGCCTTATCTCTAAGGCTAGGCATTATGTTCCACATGAGGACCTGGAGAAGCTTATTCACGCTTTTGTGACCTCCAGGTTGGATTATTGTAACTCCTTGTACCCTCTTCTCTTCTTCTTAGACTGCAAACAGTCCAAAATGCAGCAGCCGGCCTCTTGACTGGTACCAGGAAATTTTGCCCTATTACTCCTGTTCAAGCTAGCTTGCATTGGCTGCCCATAAAGTACCGTATTCAATTTAAAATATTACTCCTTACATTCAAAACTATTAATAAATTAGCACCGAATTATCTTAATGAATTTCTCAAGCCACATACTCCTGCTAGAACACTTAGATCTGCCACTCAACTACTTCTGGTGCAACCTAGATCTCGGCTGAAGTCCCGGGGTGACCGTGCGTTTGCTCTGGCTGACCCGGTACTGTGGAATACCCTTCCTCTCGATATCCGCGTATCTGATTCCATTGCACTGTTTAAATCACGACTAAAAACCCACTTATTCAATCTTGCCTTTCCCTCTAAGTTAATATTTCCTTTATGATTTTATATAATGCACTTTTATGCTCATTTAATTTCTTGTTTGTTCTGTTGCTTTCCTATGTATCAGTGACAGCTACCTGCTTGCATACCTAGTACTTGCTTTGGTCCTATTTCTGTTATCTTCCTTCTATTCTCTATGTTACTCGTTAAGCACCTTGGCATACCCTTGGTTTTTAAGTGTGCTTTATAAATAAAGTTTATTATTATTATTGTTGTAGCGAGCAAGCAACCAGCTAGGGTTCAAGCAAAAATACGATTGATTCATTGCAGCTGCTCATTTAGATAAGGATGCCCGAACTAGAGCGTTCATCCTTCTAAACTTGGCCAGCTTTGAAGCCATCGAAAGGGAGCGTGCCTTCCTTTACACGTGGAGAACACAGACCAGTGACCAGAGCAGAATCAAGAAAAGACGTGCAATGTCTCAAATGCAAATTCCACAAACTGTGTAGTCCTCAAACAGAACTATAGAAAGTTTAACACCAGAAACAAATGACCGTGATGAAACAAGTCTTATGTGGACTTGAAAAATAAGGCAGGCAGTTGCAGGTTTCGCCAACAACCTCATCAGAGACATACTCATTTGTGTAGTACATTAATGTACAACTTCCAGATATTGTACAAAAAAGGCTTACATTGCACGATCTGGGAGAGTTTGCAAGCCAAACCCCAACACTAAGGCGTAGGAGATGGACTGTTTAAAATAGTTTTTAAAAGTGTACATTATTTCTTTAAATATTTATTTCTGCTATTGATATTCATAGAAATTACATGTAAATTGATGTTGACAAAGTGAAATGTTGACCATGTTCTTACCAGTGAAACAGTTCCAGGTTTCAAGTGAATGGTTAATTTTCAAGCTAGAATGTTACGGATTACAATCTATTGTTAATGCGTTATGCTGAAGATGTTGTTGTTAGTCAGACATAAGCTAAAGAATGGGATTGTAGAACATCTGACTAGTGTTGCTGAATAGTGGGGGTTTCCCATACCTGTTCGAAGTCCATGCACGCAATTAAAAATGGCTAACACAGGACCAGGTTCCCACCCCCGGAGTTGAGCTGCTTGCATGTAATGTCTCCACAGTTACACACAGTAAATGTTTATAGGGAATCATGAACCCAGCGTCTTTACTAAACATCAAACACTAACATTAAAAATATTTTAATTCAGAAGGAAACAGGATGTTAATACAAGGAGATCCTGAAGACTGCTCCAGAAATGATCAAATTATGTTTTAAATATTTGTTCAATTCTCTTCCAAACCCCAGCAGACTATTGGAGGTCTTGAGTGTCTACTAAAATAAAAATAAAAGCATTCTAACAGCTCATCTGTTTGTTTTTATTCAATAAGCAGCATAGCTTATTAAGAGAGATTAAACTTGAGTTTCTGTCATGAAGTGATTGTGCTCAACTGTATTAAGCTTGTGCTCAACTGTATTAAGCTTACACATTATGCAACAGATAAAAGTAAAAGCAAATTTGGCCAAAATGCTTAAAATACTTATTTAAATTATTTGTTTTTTCTTAAAGAAATCTACTACATCATGCATCTTTTCAATTGCAAATATTAATCACAGTTAAATTAAGAGGGGCGGGCAGTTAAAACCCTGGAGCTGAGATGTCATCAAGTATACTACCATTCCAATTGTGGAATGACGATGAACTTACGAAGTACGGACTAGCGAGGACATGAGTACGGACTTGCATACTTGAGTATTGAGAAACGGCCAGAGTTTAGCAGGAGTGGGAGAAAAAACAGGGGGGAAAACAACAACAAACAAAACAAAACAAAAAAAACATGAAAGATTAAACAAAAATTAAAAATGTAATGTATAAAGTAGAGGCAGTGGCTGCCATGGACAGCTGTCATGGTTTTTGAAACAGCAGCTCTCTACATGTTGCACAATCATGTCGCTATAATTAAAAAGAGGGAGGACTAGTATGAATGACACTGATTTGCTATTGGCAAAACACAGTTGGGTAGAATTCCAGGTTAAAGTTTTTAGTTCAACAAACAAGTGACAACTTATGACCTTTCACCAGGTTTTATTTAATGTCCTCTTCATGTAGCTGAATACATTCATTGTTAAAAGCAAAAGCTGTGCAGATCTGAGATCAGCAGTGTTCTTAAACACCAAACTTACTGTTTATGCTCATTGTATATTGATGACCTGATGTTTTGTCTTTAATTTTCTCAGTAAAACAGCTGCAGCATTCACTAACAGTACATAACATGGTACTCTAGACTTTGTACTTTATTCCATTAGTTACATCTGGAGTTATTGCAAATTTACTCCAATATTAAATTAAATGTATTCTGCATTAAGAGTGAACATACAGGATGATGTTACTGGGTGGTGCTGAGGTCTGAATTTGAGGGCAGCTCCTGTAATCACAATGAGAAAAGACTCATTACAAACTGTCAAATGTGAAGTTTATCTCTGAAATCTGAAATAAAACTGATCCTTCCTTGTCCTCACACACCCGTATGTACGGGAAGCATACGGTAACAGTGATTTCGTTAGTAAATTCATTCATGTGCACGGATTAGCTAATGAGCACAGCTTTACCCAAACGCCAACTGTAAGCTTAGCTAGCTAGCTAAGGACTTTACTGATTAGCTTACAAACACACATTTAACTTATCAAAAAAGTGCAGCAGGACCTCAGGTGTCAGTATGACACAGTCAGTCATGGTTTTGTAAAGTAAACGCTTGCCCTCCTCTCAGCATCCATGGATTCATCTGCCATTCTCGAACAGAGATAGGCAAGTTTCTCCGTGATTGCAGCTGTTTTTCAGAGCTGTTACGATGATCAAACAGTATTATAGTTGTAATTAGAGTTATGAGAAGGGAGACCCCTTGAACACGAATCAGCATGACGCGAACTACTAATAATGGCCGAAAGCACATCCTTGGAAAAAATTATCTGAGGAGAATTTTTGTTTTTGTTTTACCCCAGTCCCACCTTCTAAAATGGAGGAGGCGGGGTTTGTGACCTATACTGTAGCCAGACACCAGGGGGCGATAGAGACTTTTTGGCTTCATTTGGGGGAGCTGTTAAGTCATTGGTTAGAACTTGGATCTTCTTCACGGTAACTGGTTGCGCTGCACATTTCTGACACTGCCCACATCTGACAAAACGTGCAGGTAGACGGTCAGTCAGCACCTGCCCACGGACTACCAAGCCCATGCTACCATTCAACGAGCTTTTCCCCACCATGACCGTATTCCTGCGTGCAACTGTTGCCGCTGAGCTAGGCAGCTGACGTACGGCTGTTTGTGTGCTCAGTGCCATCACCCGAGGACTGGGAAGCAAGAATTAGCATATCTGAAAACATGGCAAAGTAAAGGTTGTTGGCGTTGTTTTCGCAGCTCTCAGTAAGATTAAAAACACTTTTTAGGAGAGGGGACTGAACTTGAACCGTTTACCATCTCCTTCCAATATTTAAGACTGACTTAGAGGAAAATGCCCCAGTTTTTGTATGGGAGGACGGCACACAGTAAATCCGCTGCGCTGTACACATGCTTAATGACCGTATGGAAAAGGGCCTTATAGAAATGTAAGCACAAGGACTTTAAAGGTTATAACAAGCGAAACAGATCGTGGCATAAATACGAGGGTTGTTAGCGTGACCGTGATAGTCATTGGTGAATAATGTCACACTCACCTGATGCAGAGAACCTCCAAATGCTGCTTTTATGAGCCCTCGATCAAATCAATACCCAGCACTGAACCCCGTGGCGCTTTTCAAAAAGAGAACTGAGCCTGCAGCTCAGTCATAACGGTCCTTCTGGCGCAAAATAAGCCCGTGCTCCGTCGCTCACTCGCTCCATCAGGTTGGGATTTTCTCGGGATATTTATGTGGCCCAGCAGCCTCGGCTGTTAGCCCCGGCTACCAGCAACGACATCTGAGCCTTTCCGTTTGCTTCGGGCTAAATAAAGACTTAATCTCACACCGGTCTGTGCTGCGTCGAAAACACGGCAGTTCCAGTCTCATTAAAACAGCGCCGGCTTCGCGTTTGTGAGAGCAGCAGGCAAGAGGCGAACAGCCGCGACGGACCGCAGCGGGAACACGGAGACCCGGTGTCGCTGCTCCGCTCAAGCTCGGCTACTTTCAAATCGCTCCGAGTTCCCAACACACTTTAAAATCCCCCAGTTAAGATATTCCAACATCGTCCGTGTCCTGGTTCTGTCTGAGTTTTCGGCCTCAGCATAGCATCTCTTTCTTCCTGACAGGCAGCCAACATCCAATCCCAACGCTGGATTCTGGAAGTGTGGGAGGATACAAAGGAGTCGATGAAACGGATTGGAAGTCTTGGAATTGACTAACCTACTGATGGGCTGAAGACCAAAGCAGCCCGATTAACACAATCAAAACACACAATTGAACTGAAGTAGTAACAAAACAAAAGCTGAGGGTCAGTTTTGAGATTTTTGGGTTCATCGCGGTTAGCATTGCTTGACCTACAGGGTCTCTGTCAGGTCAAGCAAGGCAAACAACATTTGCCTTGTCATGTCTTCAAATACACCAAAGTCTCTCTCTGTCCTTCCATCTCCTTCCATCTCACAAAGCCTTCTGTCATTGGGATATTTCACCTATATTCATCTATCCTTTACATCAGTGCCATTTTGTGGCTGCAGCCAGTGATTGTAACTGGAAGAACACTTGCTTTGAATCTCATTAGGAACTGGAGTTTGTCTCGATTTCACAGGCATGTCCATGTCCTCTAATGGCTGGACCCTTGGCCAGCAGCTTTTTCTAGTTGTTTGTACATGCGCAATGAGGATAAATCTCAGATCTGTGACAGGACTTATGGGGGATTAGCATCTAAGACAAGCTGCCACTAGTTCTGCTCTGAGATCAGTTATGAGCCACACTTTGTGTGGAAACAGAGTTAGCATTAGCAATTGCATGATAAGTTTAACTAGCTGCTTTCCCAACACCCTGCCTTCTTTTTTCAATAATATTTTTACGCCCTCTGGTAGATATTGAAAGTTAACCACGTCACAAGCTGCTTAAGCCTTATTTTTTTTAAAACATTGATTTTAATATACTTTTATTAAAAAAATAAGATGTATGCCTGTTTTTCTGAGCTCATTAACAGCAGCACCCATATAGCACTGATGGGCACCTTTTTCTACGGAATAATCATTTTCAGTTTTAATAATTTATAATAATAATAAGAATAATTTAAGCCGACTGTCAGCATAAGAACTAGCATAAACCTGTCCCACAGGTGTTTTTTGGATCACATATGCACTTTAATTTATTTTGTTGTGTTATTATTAAAAACATTTATAATTATATATTTAAAAAATATTAATTGTTCTTCTATATAGACGCTACATATTCATTGTATAAGACAAAATCCGTTACAAGCACTATTAGCATCACTGTTTTGTGAATTTATTTACAGATTTCAGTGACAACACATATTAGTACCACTGCACTAAACATTGTTTAGCAAAATGTATTTACAATAAAACAGTGTACACATAATGTCAACATTTACATGTTACCATTTGTTTTGAGATAAGCTACTTTAAATATATAATTTGTAGCGATTTGAGTGTTTTGAAAATAATTCAAAAAGAGCCCACAAAGACACAAAAAGGGGCAAAACACACAAAAACCTAACTGAAAGTAACATAGCAAATATCATTACCCCCCTCCCCTCCACGATACAGTTGTAGTATGACCTAATTTGTTGGTCTTTATATAGACTCTTAGTTCATCAGCCAAGGAACTGGAGCAGCTGCCACTAAGGTAACTCAGAAAACAGAGAAAGATTACATGAAGTGTAACAGTGTAAATTAAAAGTGTGCACACTTATTTATAGAATACAGTATTGTGTAATTGTATAAATTGATTCTAAACCAAAACCACCTTTATCACTCTGTAAAGTAAAGCCTATTTTTTAAAGAAAGCAAAATATAAGTGCAGTGTTATGTATAAGTCGCTATTATAGCACTGTGATGTTTGGTAGATATTACTCAATATGTGTGGCTATAACTGCAGCCATCACAGGAACAGACATAAATACATAGACTATGTCTGTTATAGTAAGGTTAAAGCAGGCAGCACAAAACAGGTATGCTTTAATTGGGCCCAATTTGATATGGTGGAACAGTTTGTATTAATGCAGCTCTCCTGAGCTCCACCTGAGTGTCAGTCCTCAGAACTATGGATTTTACACTTTCACGGTGCTTGTCAATTTCTATCTGAAGAGTTATTTCTTATATCAGAAGCATATTGATTTTCCTTCAGCCTCCTCAGTGATCTGAACTGCCTCACCTTTTTCAGAGCGAAGCCTACATTTACACTGGATTATTTTGGTTAGCAGGCCTACAGTGCTCTCCCTCACACTCCTTTCTCATGAGTTTTGAGTCCTTCTCTTGGGAGAATGCTGGTTATTACTGAATTGGCTGCGTCTTTGTAAATAAATCGTTAGTGAATCACACTGTAATTGTGACATCACAAAATTTGCCTCACTAAATAAATCTGCCCCACATTTAAATGAAATGCATCTTATTTTCCCATATTTTATTGTTGTGATCCAGTGAAACTCCTTTCTTCCTCCCTGTTTAATATTTCTGTAACTGCAGAAAAATTCCTTCCATCCATCACTTATGACAACTGAACTGCAGTGTAGTAAAAATTAATCCTTAGGACTTTAATCCTTAAGACTGCAAAACAGCAAATACAAACACTGATTATACAGAATCTTAAACTCACTTTTATCAGCTAATATCCTGTAGATCATAGCACCTTTACGCAACAGCTGTACATTTAACAAATTGTTCTTCAAACTCTCAGCAGGCCTAACTGGAAATTTGCAATCATAGTTAACAATTACAGATGTTTGGAAATACTTTGTGTAACATGATGGAGTGTTATTTCTCCCCAGTCTGACACCCACAGTGTCTCGGTGCTTCCATACTTGGTTACAATTTAGCTTTTTTAGGCTCTTGTTGCTGGCTTCCTAGAGTATTTGAAAGTAGAATGGGAGGGAGAGGGTTCAGTTTTCAGAACCAGCTTCCAGTTTGGATTCAGGAATCAGACACTATCTCTACTTTTAAGATTTGGCTTCAAACTTTCCTTTTTGCTAAAGCATATAGTTAGGGCTGGATCAGGTGACCCTGAATCCTCCCTTAGTTATACTGCAGTAGGCAGGGCTCTAAACTAACTTTTTGCGACGGTTGCACTGGCCTAACTTTTCTTCTTAGGCGCACCCAAATTTTTCAACCGCATCGCTTAAAACCACAGTTTTACATGTGCACTTTTTTGGGGGGGAAATTGGTGTCTACAGACACTATTAATTTGTAAATGATTAACTAACAATCTTGTCAACACAAAGTTCTTTGTTTGGAGCACATTTCTACAACAAAGATAAGTTACTGAAAAAGTGCTTGTGCTTAAAGTCCTTTGGCACTCTTTGGGAATATTGTAGACAATGTTAAACTTAATCATCATCTCGGCCTCCTCTGACAACCTGTTTGCTGCTGCCTGCTGCAGCAAACAGGTTGATGGCACCGTGTCAGAGCACTGGCTATGAATTTCAGATGGATCAGGCCTTAACTTAACAAAAAAAAAATATCAATAGTTCTTTTCATATTTTCTTATTACCCACAGCTACATCCACTTCTGTCGGGCCTAGGCTATTCACTAAGACTGGGTATCATCACTCATTTCCATTTGATTCCGATTCACAAGGTCCAGATTCGATTCGATTTTGCCTCAGATAGTCAAAAATATTATAATTCTGATCATTTTTCAGTACTGTTACATGTGAAACTTCATCAGAGGTGTGAGCATCAAAGCAGATGCCTTTGTGTCAGAGTAACTGAGGATAAAACACAGAAAAAGGAGAATTTCCTGGCCTACAAGCTTTTTATAGCAGATAACCTTAAATACATTGTGCAATTTTACATAATGTTAAAAAGTTCAAATTTCTTCAGTACTGAACAACAAAAATTAGACTCTCTTTTCCGAGGTCATTTAAGTAAAAAAAAAAAAAAAAGAGCGGCCAACAAGGCTGCAAACAACGGTAGACTGGTGGGTAATAACTGAATGAATAATGCTGAAAACAGAGATTTGAGATCGGAAACTGTTCTTGAAGTACAGAGAGAGAGAGAGAGAGATAGAGAGCTGTGCATTGAGTGTGATTTTATGGTGGTGGGAGCCAAACAGCAGAAGTCAGAGGGAATTCATGGCGATGTTTATCAAATGTGGAGCGTAGTTTTGATCTTCTTTTGCTGCTGGTTCAGTGAATTTTGGTTGGTGAGAGCAGTAGTGTTTTTTGATACGGGCGACACGTTGCTGTTGCTGGAAAAGTCTCCTCCACAGAAAAACGTTATTGTCATCTCCGCTACAGTCCAGTATATAGAGAGACGAGACGACGAGGCTCCAGTTACAGCAGTGCAAGTAAACAAACAATAAATATAAGAAGAGTAAGAAA